CCATGTTTGGGAAATTTTCTGCTATTACTTCATGAATATTTTAGTTATGTCATTTGCATTGACTCCTGCATCTTCACTGATGTCTGTTAATCTTATATTGTTACTCTTGGCATCATCTTGAAGCTGCTGGATTGTCATTTCATGCTGCTTTGTTATTTTTAAAAGTTCTATCCTTTCGTGATTACTAATTGTGATCCTGTCCTCAAGATCCAAAATCCTATCCTCAGCTTCATTTTAATGGTTTTGCCAGCTTTAAATAGAATTTTTTGTTTCTTGGATGTCTCTTTGAGTTTGTTTCATGAATTCTGCTTGTTTTCTATATTGTTCATTCAAGGTTTCAATCAATTTCCCATGCTCCTGTACTTTTTTCTCTATTTCTTCTTTACCTGTGCTCAGCAACTCCTTTACTAAGGTTGTTATTTCTATCTTTACACGGGGGAGTACTTCTAATTTGATTTCCTCTATAGCCTCATGGAGTTGTTTTTTGTTTCACTCACTATCTTTTCAGAGATTCCTGGTGTGTTACTTATGAAGTCCTCTATTTCAATGTCTCCTGTACTTGCTCCTGGTGGACTAGATGTTTGAGATTGCATTTTGCTTTTTTGTTTTGCCATTTTCCCCTTTTGAGTTAATATTTGGTCCTTCAATCCCACTAGTGTCAACTGTTGGTAGTGTGTATCTTGGGGTCCTAATGTAAGGTTGATGTTTGTCCAGTTGCTGGGTCCCACAATGAATAGGTGGGCCAGTCACCTGACTTCCCACTGCAGGGCCTATTAAGTGAGTCCTATATTCTTCCTGGGCTGACAAACCTAGTAGTACTGATGTAGGTCAACTTTTAGTTCCTGCTCTTACTTTATTTTCAGGTTATTCCAGGTGTCAGCTGAGGCCCTATTGTGTCCCTTATTGTGTGCCTGTGTGTCTCATAAGCCCTTTTGAGTTTCTCCAAGTTGGGGGAGTTCTTATTGGCATACTCCTCACCCTACCTGATGTTTTCTGTGTGCAGGAAGGAGTCACCCATGCTCTTGTCAGATTCACCAAGGTCTTACAGTTAGTTGGAGGGAGCTTTACTACTGGCCCTATTTACTCATGGTACACCTCTATTTTAGGGACATACTCACCACACTGACTGGAGCCTGCTGAGATCTTCTGTTTGGGTGAGGCAGCTACTGAATCTCCCTTCAAGCTAGCACAGGTAATCCACTGTAGTCCAAGGATCTGGGAGAAAGGGTGGGAGCTGAAGATTAACAGTAGTATTAAGTCCAGGAGGTAAGGAGTATCCTCAAGGGGACTGCAGATGTCCTGGGTCCGGGCTTCTGGTGGGTGCAGGCCAAGGTCCCAGGGCAGCATAGCATTCCTCAGTGCCAGCTGGAGTCGCGCAGGGAGCACACGGCTGCTTATGCTCTATTTGATTAAGAAAGTTACATGGCTTATCTATATACATGATTGTTCATATGAACATTATGGAACTTCTGTTAAAATGAAGGTGTCCTATGATTATAGTGTTTTAAAAAACAATTCTTAAGAGCTGGGGATTTAGCTCAGTGGCTAAAGTGCCTGTGTGGCAAGTGCAAGGCCATGAGTTTGATCCTCTGGAACCAAAAAAAAAAAGAAAGAAAGAAAAAAGACAGCAAAAAACCAATCCTTATCTTACAGAGATAGATATTGAGTATTTAAAAATAGAATTACATGATGTCTGCTATATGCATCGACAGTCCAGAATGACAAAGGATATACGAAAAACAAGCTTTATTAAAATTTGCCATTTCTGAAAATGAAAATGAATAACAAGCATTTATATTAGTTTCTCTGCTTTTGTAAATAACAGAAACTTTCCATAATGTAAGATTTTATAAAAGAAACAAGCTTAAATTGAAAATATAAAAGCTCCTATTAGCTTATAAATAAATAAATAAAAGATGTGACAAATTGAAAACTTATTTTACACCCACTCACACAAGAACAATGACAAAGACTATCTAGAAGAAAAATTGAGATGATCTAGTCGTGTAAGTGTTTAGCAACTGGCTCTCAAAAATGTGTATGTTTATTATAAATTTTATTAACATAAAAATCATTTATCATCCAAGATACGAATGATAATAAAATAATACTCCTGATTGTAGACTCCACGTGGTTAGGCAATTTCACACCATGTGCTCCAATTGCTTTGTTGTTGTTGTGGCAGCTGCCCAGCAGAAAGAGCGGCTTTAGGGTCAAATTTCTCTGGCTGGTGGGAGGGGTGCTCCTGCCTCTTTAAAAGACTGACAGGGCCTTCAAAGCTGTTTTCTGTTTCAGCTCAGACTCATTGGAGAAGCTAAGGAGGAAATAGTCAAGCTCACCAGGTCACTCTGCCTTGTTCATTTTGGTGACCTACTGTTTGTTTGTTTGTTTGTTTTGGTACGGGGAATGAAACTCAGGACCTTGGGTTTGCTAAGCTGACACCTGTGCTGCTGTGCTATATACCTGGTCACCTTTTATTTTTGAACATGTGGTTTATGAAGTGTCAAAAGGAGCATACACAGGACCGTGTCTGCCTGACAAACTTTCTTATGTGAATATGTATAAGTTTCCCCAATAAAATGCCTACTACTACTTTCTTTGTTGAGGAGAGCATTGTTTTGCAAATGACTCCGGTGCCCTCTTGCTTCCAGTAATAAATCTCTCTGGGCTCTTTGTCTTCTGTTTGTACTCACTGGCTTCACCTCACCAAGAGGGGAACTCACTGCATCCATTTACAGTTGTCCTGCTCTTTAATCTCTAACCAACCCATGGTTGCGACTGATTTATAAGAATACTTACCATGTGAATGGCATTATATTTATTTATATTAATGAATGACAGGAAAGTGGAACAATGCAGACCTAAGTCAGAATTTCACTTGCTCTGCATAATATGAATGACTTCTTTGCTGATTCAACAAAAATTTTAAATACTGAAAGCATATTTCTTTAACAATTTTGCAGCCCACAATATTAATGGCTAGAGACTCTACATATTTTAAATTTGCTTTGTCAACATTTTCCCCATCATTTTTTTGATTCAGCAATCAATCAAACAATAAATCAAGCCCTAGATTTTTTTTTTTGCATTTGAATATTTTCACAGTGTGAAAATATTTCTGTCTTAGTGACCAAGAGGAGATACAAGATAGTGCACTGTTACTAGACTATCTATCATACAGACCTGGATTGTAGCTCAACCCTAGAGGACTTGTCCAGCGTATGTGAGGCCTAGGTTCAATACCTAGCATCATCAACAAAGCAAAATGGAAAAACTCTTCCATACAAATAATAATGGACAGAATAACCTCAAATACATACTTAACAGTAAAATATAATTAAATAACTAGGAAAAGATGTTTGTTTTTCTAATTTATTTAATTATAAGTTATATTTGAACTATCTAGGCAGTTGATATACAATCGTGTTTAGACTTATCAAAAGGTGAACTAAAATTTTCTGAGGAAGTTATATCTGTACTGCAAATCCTGCAAACTGTTTTGAATTGTCATTGGGATTGTGGAGTGATGGGATATTGTAGATAAAAAACCAAAATTACCTTGAACTACCTTTAGTCTCTTTAAATAACTATTACCAACCTCTTTATCTGACCAAACATTCTTGTGACTACTAAGCAAAAATCTTGGCAAGTACCATTGAGTCCAGCCTCCAGCAGCTCTAAAGTTAACAATGTTATAAAATAACATTTGATACTATGGAAAAGATCTTCCCACCTTCCTGTATAGAGCCCACCTACCTGATGTGCCTGTCAATGTAACTGGTAAATTTGTTGATTTATGCTTTCTTCTGTTACTATAAAGTTCCTGTAAGCCTTTGCTTGGTGGAATGGTTCATTTAGGGCAACTTTTGCCGGACTAGGGCAATAAAATAAGTTATTTTCTTCCTTCCTTTAAGATAGAGTTATTATTTTACATTGATGAAAATGATAAATAACCTCAATGATTCAACACAAAACATACCAAGGATGTTTGAGGACAGTAGAGTTCTTAGGGGGAGGCATGGATAATAACATATAAATAAGAGTTGCTACTATGAATTAAACATTTTCTAAGTCAGGCACTCTGTGAGGCTGTTTGAATCACTGTGACTTGCAATAACGAAAACAGAATGTATATTAAGCCCATCTTTTATACTCCCAAGTAGTTTGAAAACTCAGAGACAGAGCCTGAACAGAGCCTAATAGTTTACTCCAATTAAAGGATTTGACTCAATCTTGTGAAATACTATTTTTGTTAATTGTGTTCAAGTATTCAATGCAATTTTAGAGGTAAGTATGTTAGGAGAACAAGCATTTCTTTTCGGAGCGTGAAACTCAACAAGTAAGCCCTGCTTTATTAAGTATGCGCTGTATTATCAACTCTTTGAGCAGAGCTACTTCACAGCTTCTGAAAGCTGATTCCTTATCTGTGACTTTAGTACTAAAATTGTCTCTGCTTATACCAATCTCAGAGTAATCAGGAGACTCAAATTGAAAAAATAAGAAAATGAAGAGTGTATTACACACAGTCACATTTTGCAAAGGCGCTGAATTCTTACTACAGAATTATAAGGCTCTGTCCCTAGATGGGTAGGAGATAGGTACTAGCTCTTGGCAATTTTAGGACTTTATTAACCATTTGTTTTACAAATAGATTGTGCTGTAAATTGACTTCTCAGGTTTCTCCTAACTGCTTATTTTTGATGTATTTACATAGCCTAATATTGTTATTTTGACCAAAGCCTTCTTTGTTCATATTGATAGTCCCCAAAAATTTGGTGTAAATGTAATTTGAAGGCTCAGGTGAAAATGGGAATGTTTCCAAAATGTTCAGCTGTTGGAAGCTCCCAATAGCAAAACCACAAGGGGCTGGTGTTTCAAGCAGGGTCCTGGCCCCCTCCCTCCTGCTTTCCTCCCAGTAGTGATTTGTACCCTGGTTTTACTTGGATCATCTGGCTGATTCATTCTTGCCAGAAAAACTGGTCTGAACACACTGTTTTGAAAGCCACAAAAAGCCGGGAGAAACTAGTCACAGAAACCCTGAAGATCAGCTGATTGTTCGCCCCAGCACTTTTTCCAGACTGGTGCAGGTTGACGGGGCTGACCTCGACTCTGAAGCTGTGCAGCCAGAGTCACAGCGTCTTCACCATGCTGGAGAGCGCAGACCTGCACTTCAACGTGGACCATGGCTACCTGGAGGGCCTGGTGCGAGGGTGCAAGGCCAGCCTCCTGACCCCGCAGGACTACGTCAACCTGGTCCAGTGCGAGACCCTGGAAGGTAAGTGGAGCCTCTCTTACGCTTCAGAAAGAAAAAGGGAAATAAAGTCCCTCTCCAAAAGCCGGGAGAAGGCCCACAAGGGGATTTTTATTCCTAGCATCCAGGTTTCTTGTGTCTATAAAGAAAAAAATAGAGTCTATTTCTATTTATTTCCTCAAAGTGAAATATAACATTTCTTTTCCTTTTGAATGTAGTAAGCAAATCACAGGGGTTGGTGTAAGTGGTACCTGTGACCAACAAATTCAATATCACTATATCCTTTTTTAAGGATACTTACAGATACTTTAAAAGGTTATTAATGTTTTCTGTATTTTGAAGTTGGAGTTAGATATTACACATTAAGCTTTTTTCTTTCTTTTCTTCTTCCCTCTTAGTAGTACTGTGGATCAGACCTATGGGCACTACCAGTGAGCTATGTCCCCAGTTCTTTTTCTTTTTATTTATTCATTTACTTATTTTTGAGACAAGGCCTTGCTAAGTTTGCCAGCCTCATTTGAAACATGCGATCCACCTACTCAGCTGCCCAAACAGTTAAGATTTCAGGCATGTGTCACCATGTCGGGCTACACTGGACTTTAGTGCTTTAATAAAGCAGCATACCAATTATTACATACTTTAAAAGCATTCTGATAACTGTATCTCTAAAAGTTTATTTCCTTTGTAATCCTATTTATTTTCATTCCACATATTTGAAGAAGAATTTAGTCAAGTTTCCAGGGTATGGGTACTAAGCAAAAAGGACAGAAGGGAGGGGAAGGGAAGGAAAGAAAGAGGAAGGGAAGGAAGAAAGGAAGGGAAGAAAAAAGGCAGGAAGGAAGGAAGGAAGGGTAGAAAAAATTTTGATCGAGGGGATTTTTTCCAGACCCAGATTCTCAGAATTGATTGAGAGTATGAAGTTTGCTTTTAATATAAGCTTCAAAAAGAAAATCACAAGTGTGGTGACCCAGCCTCAGATTTAAAAAAGACCTCGTTTGTCACCTGTGATGGTGGCGCCTGATTAGCTGAGTTACAGAGAGGAAGGAGTAAATGGAGCACTCAGCAAGTGGAAATTATCTTTAAATCACATTTTTAAAAATCTTACCAAAGATCCCACATCTGTAGCAATATTTTATCATTAAAAACAGCTTTCTTTGCTCATTTTGAAGCAAACTTACAAAGTCTATAATGTGTTTTAAAACTGGCGGATGACAATACCCTACCAAGTTACAGCTGAAAAGGGGTACAGACTCCCAAATACTTTAGTTCAAACCAAACTCAAGTTATTCATCTATAAAATGTGACTTTGTCCAGTTTCTGTTACTTTTTGATTTGGTTACATAACCTTCTAAAAACTTGACGACATAGTTAAAAAAAAAAAAAAAAAAAAAACAATGGCAGACAATGGCAGATTATTCTACAAGAAGCGAGTAAGCACCAAGGATAAAGCCTCCAAGGAAGGGTGTTAGCAGGTAAAGGCAAATCTTTCTGAAGGTGACTTTTTAGGGTTCTTATGTGGGGCTGAAGAGTGCTGAGGTCACTTGTTCATGGTGGTGACCAGTCAAAGCCAGCGGTGAGGCCAGACTGCTCGAGCTGGGACAGACCCTACCTTTGCATTAACATGGGAAAGTTAGAATCCGTCAGATGATAAGTAATTCTGTTGGCTACAAATAATTATAATTCCAATAATAATATTCCTACATTCTAAATCCTTCCAGCATATTAAATTAGAAGTTTGGTGACTGAAGAATGTTAATCAAGTGTAGAAAAATATACAGAAATTAAAGTCAGAAAAACTTAAAAACAGCAGAATAACTGCTTCTGAAAGAAGCCATTTGGAAAATTTCTATTTAGTTTTCAGTCAAGTCTTCAAATGAAATAAGGAATGCAGATTTAAGGGCAAGCAACACATAAAATATCTTTGCAATGTCAAAAGCTCACAAAATAATTCAGAGACAATCAAGGAAAGCTGTTTAAAGGCACAGAAAGAATTTTTAGAAACTAAAAGGGTAACAATCAAGAATTTAGAATTTGCTCCCAATATCTTCTGCCAAAAGATTCTGTTGAGAGAAAAAATGAGAGATGAGAAGAGAAGAATGATCCAAACAGGTCCATTATCTGAACAGTAACTTAGCTGAATTCGGTGACTTTGTCTTCAATTTGGGATAGGTTTCCAACTCTTTCGGAGATCTCAGGAGTGAAACTTATTGGGCAAATACACAAATGTGTAAACGAACAGAATTTTCCATGCAAAGTTAGGGGATCATGGACCACCCAAATCTGTCCCTGCACCCAGCTTAAGAAGTCCTGCCATTGCTGGGGATTTAGCTCAGCGGCTCAAGAGTCTGCCTGACAAGCACAAGGTCGTGAGTTCGATCTCTGTGCCAAATGAAAGAAAGAAAAAAAAAGAAAAAGAAAGAAAGAAAGAAAGAAAGAGAGAGAGAGAAAGAAAGAGAGAAAGAAAGAAAGAGAGAAAGAAAGATGTAAGCCATTGCTTTATCATCACTAGGCTTCATTGTTTCTAATTCTCTCCTCAATAATACATATTTTTCAATTATTCATTTCACAACTATATTTCCATCTGTGAGCTAATTTACTTTCGGGAGATTTCCACAAATATCAACTATGGGTCACTAAATCATGTTTCGGTTGTCAAGGCTGCTAAAAATATTGATCTAAATAAGATTTCCATGTCCTCACTTAACAATTAAGGAAGACCCTGAGGATTAGTATGGCTGTGACCTTCATGAAGGCTGTCAACCATAGAGGACAAAGGTACCTGCATCTCTTTTTTCCACCAAAATGCCGCTGCTTCCCTAACATTAACTGAAGGTATGATTGGTCCATGTTGAGCTGATGTCAGCTTCATTTTGAGGGTAGAAAATAATGCACACTGCTCAGTCTGATGATTTCCTAGGATGCTAGGGAAACTGTGTGAAGCGTGATGTGTTTGTTGCTGATGTGAATGACCTCAGAGAGACCCAGCCACCTGGTGGACTAGATCCAAAGTCAAGAATTAACCAAAGGCATTGGCTGGAATAGAAGTTAAAGAGCCAAGGATTTCTGTTTACTTTTTCACACAGAATGCACTGTACAAATTATGGATACGGAAGAGAAGGTAAAACTGTGTCCTTACAGTGCTGCATGTTGAAACAAGTACTTTTTGAGAAAGGAAAGCTAACTTGTTGGCAAAGACTGGATTTGTTTAAAGCCCTCTTTTAATGCCCTCTTCTTCTTAAATGTGTTCTGAAAGCAATAAACTATAAGCCACTTACAAGGAACACATAAGGTTTAGGTCAATTTAGAAGATTAGTAAGATTGTCCAGGAAAGGCTTTGGAAAGTCTTTGTATTCATATCTGTGCCGAACTGTGTACATAATAGGCCAAATGTAGTGAGAAATATTCATCCATTCCAAGGCCCGACCCTGACTAACCTGAACAGTCACCAGGATCCAGCACGATTCAGTCTTTCCTAGGTACAAAAGAAGGAAGCCAGAATTCTTTAAAATATTAACATGGCTATTTTTTTTCAGATGTTAATAGCAAATAAGAATATTGTGTAAATATTCTTTTCTCTTTGATAAAGAAGAGTTGGTGAAACTTATACGTAAAGTTTAGTCATAAACATATATTTTTTTCTAAGGATGAATGTGTTCGCTGGCTCTCTAAGATGTAGGAGAGCACAGTGCATTGAGTTTTTATTTTATCCCCCTTGCCATATGTTTTGGAAGGACTGTGGGGAGCCCACTAGATCTCATTAGCAGTAATAAGAGGAATTTGACCTTCAGCTGTACTCCAAGTGTGCCTTTGGGTAAGAATTAATTTAACAACCATATATTAAGTAATTCCAATGGCTAAGGAAATACAGATAAATAAGATAAAATTCCTGCTTTCCAAAGACTCCCACTGTGGGAAATAAACAAATCAGAAACCCTTAAGGAGGGCAGTACCTACCCACCCTCCAAATGCATATCCACCCAGCCTGCGAATTCCAAATCCCACAAAAAGAATTACACGCACGCACGTGACATGACAGCTGTGACTGTATCTTCATGCAGCATTGTTTTGAGTAAAAAAGATAAAAACAAAGCAGCTGTCCCTCTGCAGGGAACAGGTTAAATAACTTATAGAACGTTCACATAATGGAATCTGCTGCAGCTAGGGAAAAAATGTAAGAAATTTAAAAAGTACTTGAAGAGGATGAAACTGGAAAGATCCCCTGGATTGAGGCAAAGTATCATGTGAGCATGCTGCTTTTTAGTAAGAAAAGGCAATACATTTTTGAAATGTTTTCTATATATTTTTTCTAGATGCAAAGAAAATGTGAAAAGATTCAAAAGACACTGGAAATACCAGTTTCCTGTGACTAGGAAAGAGTTGCAAAAGGAGTGGGATGTGGTTACCAAGTCCAGGAGAATGTTCTGTTTACCTCTTACCTATCTTTAAATCAAATAAAAATACAGACAGGAGGAAGACTCATTTCAATCAGCTTTCTCCAATTCCTTCAACATTATTTATACCTCAAATGACATGACTTGTGTTTCGTGTTTTATATTAGAAATGTGTATCTAATACTGTCACAGTTCAAAACTATATCAGCGGCTTCCATCAGACAAGGTCAACATCACACTTAGCTTAAAAGGCTCCAACAGTCTGGCTGATCTCTGCCTTTCAAGTATTTCCTCAGACGCCTTCTGCCTTTTCTGAAGCTATTCCTCCATCACAAATCTATGGTCCATCTGGTTCCCCCGAAGAAAACCCATTCCTTTTAAAGTTTCCTTCCAAGCCTCGTTTTCTATAGACCCTTTGCTGCTGCATCCCTGATGAGACTGAAGTGCGAAATCTCTCCTTCCCTTACTGCAATTTGTAATAAGCCTGATTTTGTACAGTTGCATAGTCTGTCACCCTGGGGGAGGACATTTATCCCACCTGTCTTCCCAGTCCCCGAGACTGTAAAAATTAAGAGTCTCAGTTCATGAATTAATAAATGTTTCTTTCTCCTACACACTATAAGCTGTTTTGTA